GGGGTGCTCCTGCGCCTCGGGGGTCGTCAAGCTTCTGACCTTCTGCGCGTTGAAGCAAAAGGTGCTCGACACGCCCGTCTGTCGGCCCATCAATTTGGTCGACGATATCAAACTGCACGCTGTAGAAGGCTTGCGCACTGTGGCGGCTCAGCTGATCAAGGCAGTGAGTCTGGTTCTGTCAGCCACGCAGGAGCTCGAGCTGCCTGTCAACACGTCCAAGTCTTGCTTGCTCATTTCAGACAACGAGCTGCTCAACCTACTCCTCGATGACCCCGAGTGGCCCCTCGATGTGTCGATGTTGTCTGACTCTCATCAGGACCTCGGAGGGGGCGCGGTAGACGGCGACCGCCGCCGGATCCCGATCCAGACCGCTCGGTTCTCTGGAACCCGTGCTGCCGCTGGCAGGCTTCGGAAGCTGGGCAGCGGCAGACATGCGCTTCGGGTGGATTCTGGGCGGGCCCCGCGGCCAAAGCTGCTCGAGGGGGCCCCCGTCCTCGGGGTCGGTAATTCGGCGATGAGGGGGCCGAGGGCTGCAGCGGCCCGCAGCTTCCGACCCTTTGCAGACGGGCTCGCCCCTCGGTGTCTCACTGCTGTGCAGCAGCGCCCGGACGAGCGACCCGTTCGTGCACCTCGCTACGGCGGCTGCTAAATCCGCCGCCCCGGTCTGGCGGCGCCGCTCGGTCGCCCCGGCCGCGCCCTGGCTGCTTCAGCTTCGGAGGCTGCCCGGGAGACCACAGGAAACAAGAGGCCCTGGCGCGCGGCGAAGCAGCCACCGTCCGCTCTCCTCCTCGCCCTCGGCAGGATCGGCTGGGACCGCGACCTCGATGCAGACTGCCTGGTGCAGCAGCACGGGGTCTCCTTGGCGATCGGCTGCTTCTCGCCTGCCTTCATCGAAGGCCGTTGCAGGCAGGCGCGCTGGGATGCGAGCGTGGCCAGTGAGCAAGGTCGTCGGTCGTCTTTCGTTGGCGAATGGTCTGGCCCGATCTACCCCCGCCCTGCCCAGGACATGATTGCGGCCAAGGCCTCGGGAAGGCTGAACGGCCCACAATTTCCGAGCGCTCCGTGGCCTGATAGCGAACCGATATTGGTGCCAGCAGCGTTTTGCAGAGAGGTGCGAAGATCTCCGCCCTTTCTGCCTCAGCTGTGTGGAGCTCGGGGCCCTCTTCCACCGTCGGTCTGTTTGCCGCGCCCACTCGGCTTGGAGCCGCGGGAGCTCTCGAGCGAGGTAAGGGAGGCGGCCAGGTTTGTTTCTGCGCTTTCGGGCTGGGCCCAGGATTTGTTTTTCCTGGGCGATCTTCCTCGACCCCCTGGTTCAAGCGCAAAGCGCCCGACCCTTCCTCCTGCTAGATGCACGGTCTCAACTGGCCTGCTGACGGCCTTGTATCGGGGCTGGAACGCACGTGCATGCGGACGGATCGGCCTTCGAGGGCCGCCTTCGGTCCCTGGGAGTGGCGGGATGGGCGATGGTCGTCGCGGACGGGGATGGAGTCATGTCGTGTATCTGAGGGGTGGTGCCCTTAGCTGAGGCACCCCTCCAGGCCTCTCGGCACGGCGAAGACTATGCTGTCCTCCAGCTTTGTCTCAATGCCACCCTCTCCCCCAGAGTCCGCCTCAAAAATAACTGCGCGGGCACCGTGGACTGCGCTCGGGACCCCAGGTCCGCCGCGGGCCCCGACCATCCGCGGGCCTACTGGTGGGCTCAAGCGCACGAAAAGCTTGACGATTGCTCTGTTTGGAAAGTCCCGTCCCATTGCACTGAGGCGGACGTGATATTGAAGGCCGCCTGACCCGCGTGCAGTGGCTCGGCAACAAAGCAGCGGATGAGTACGCGCGTCGTGGGGCCGAGCTGCATCGCAACGACCCCGCCGACCGCATCGTGCCACGATAGCAGATGCTGGGGTGCATGGCCATGTCCCGCCAACTTGGCTCCGAAATGTCGGCCTCGGCTTGTTTGACTTGCCGCCAGACGTCGCGGGGGATGATGGCAGCGGCGCGCGCGGGGGGGGCGGGAGTCGGAGGAGGGAGCGCTACAGCTCGGGACGCTGGCGAGGTGTTATCCCCCCCCCCCCCGGCCCCCCGCCGCCTCCTGGGGGGACGAGGCTTGGGCCCTCCTCGGGCCTTGGAAGGCCAGAGGCAAATTCCTGCGTTGAGGCTCCAGTGACCCTGGCAGCCGGGGCTCCGTTGGGACCCGTGGTCTTCTGCACCACTTGCGGGTCCATCGGCCACCCTGAGAGCTCCTGGGATCGGAGCGCTCTCGCGTCGGATTGCCTAGGGCCCGGTTCCCCAGGCCGCGAAAGGCGACTGGATTGGATGTTGCAAGGCAAGACCCCGTCCCGCAAGGAGTGCCGAGTCGGAGCAGCGCGCTCGATGTTGCCCACCCACCTCCGCGCACGTGGTGTCAAGTGCAGAGAATCCGACGCGCCCAAGCTGGGTCCCTTCTCATGGGGGCCGTCGACACGCGAATAGACGTGCCCCGCGCACACGCGCCAGGCGCTCGTTGGCCTCCCCCCCACGCACAGATAGATTTCCGCGCGTGCAGAATCTGACGCGCCCACGTTGGGCCGTGGACACGCGAGGACGCATGCCCCGCGCGCACGCGCCAGACGCATGTTGCCCACCCGCCTCTCCGCGCACGTGTGGTCAAGGGCAGAGAATCCGACGCGCCCAAGCTGTGTCCCTTCTTGGGGGCCGCCGACGCGCGAACAGACGTGCCCCGCGCACACGCGCCGGGCGCAGGTTGGCCGCGCGCCCTCCGCGCAAGTGCTTTCGTGTGCAGAGAGTCCGACGCGCCCAAGTTGGGCGCCCCCCCCCGCTCGAGCCCTTCGTCCTCCTGCTGCTCCTCCTCCTCCTCCTCCTCCTCCTCCTCCTCCTCCTCCTCCTCCTCCTCCTCCTCCTCCTCCTCCTCCTCCTCCTCCTCCTCCTCCTCCCTCTCCTCCTCCTCCTCCTGAGCAGGATGGAGACAGAGGCCTCCGAGACGGGCCCCCGAGGTGGGCTCCGAGCAGACGGGGTCGGAGGACTGCCGCGCAGCGCCGAGGCATCGCAGAGGCGTCGGCGAGGCATCGGCGAAAGGGGGTCGTGGGCACGTGGGGACGCGTGCCCCGCGCGCGCGCACACTCGGCCGCCGCCCCTCCTCCTCCTCCTCCTCCTCCTCCTCCTCCTCCTCCTCCTCCTCCTCCTCCTCCTCCTCCTCCTCCTCCGCCTCCTCCTCCCACTCCTCCTCCGCCTCCTCCTCCTCGCCGTTTCACGCGTTGAGAGTCCGCCACGCCCAAATGGAGGCCCTCGCCCGCGGCCCCGTCGTGGCCGGAAGCACGGGAAGACACATGTGCCGAGCGCACGCGTGCCGAGACTCGTGCTGGAGCTCCCCCCTCCGCACGCGCACTTTTACGCATCCTATTCGGACGCCTGCTGCTCGACGCCCTTCTGGTGGAGGGCCCCTGGCCCGCAACCTAGAAGAGAACCCTGGGCTGGAGCCCCTACTGGGAACAAAAAAACGACGGACCCCTCAGAAGCGAGCGAAAAGAGCTCGAAACACCAAAGGATACCATGTTTGATCATGCGTGCTGCCTGTGAAAAGCTCGTCTGATCGGTTTGGGGCCCCCAGGACTCCCGACCCCATCCCAGGCGCCGCCATTCCGTCCTGGGCCCTTTTCGGTGGCCCCAAACCTCCGACGACTCAGCATTCTCGAGTCTCGGGGCCCCGGACCGCTCCTCTCGACAATGTGAGCGTTTTCTTATTCGGCGCTTCGACATTGGGCGGAAGTGGAGGGGGAGGGGGGGGGGTCTGGCTCCAGACCTCTGCGTACTGCGATTGCTTGCAACAGTGCGTCCTGCGGGGGAAACTCCACCTGCTCGAAACAGGCGCCAAAAACAGCCAAGATGGTCCTCCTCCTCCTCCTCCTCCTCCTCCTCCTCCTCATCCTCCTCCTCCTCCTCCTCCTCCTCCTCCTCCTCCTCCTGCTGCTCCTCCTGCTCCTCCTGCTCCTCCTCCTCCTCCTCCTCCTCCTCCTCCTCCTCCTCCTCCTCCTCCTCCTCCTCCTCCAGTGCCCTGCGACCGGTGCTTCGTCCCGAGCCGTTTCTTGACCGTCCCAGGGCCTCCGAGAGCGGGCGCTGGAAGCCGAACACGCGAAGCAGCCTCAAGCTCTGTGCTGAATGGGGCCCAGGGGCACACAAATAGATACACTGAAATCCCAGGATCCCCTAAATTGTCCTATGTGTTCTGGGCTTTCGTCTTCCCCCCAGTTCCCAGCTGTTCCCATATTTTCGTGGGGATCTACGACTGATTGTGTCTGTGTGTATCTGTTCCCTCCTGATATACGGCCGGGAGCTCCTGCTTTTTGCGCGCCGCGGCGGCGGCCCTGGCGACACGCTGTGCCCTGCAGGCGGGCAGCGTGCTTCTCCGCCCCACGGGGCGGGAGGCTCGGAGAGGCTCGGAGTGCTGGCGCTCGGGAAGGGGAACGCGGCTAGCGTGTCGCACCGAGGCGCCGTGGGCCCGAGCCGGCGGAGCGCGGCCCGACATGCGGCAGCAGCCACCACTGGGGAAACCAGAAGGTACCGGTACCGCCACTCCCCGGACCTCTCCCGGGGCGCGCTCTGCCCAGTAGATGTCGAGGCGAATCCAGCGGCGGCGACGACGGAGGCCCAGGAGGCCCAAAAAAACGGAAAGCGAGGGAAGGGTAGCGGTATGGGTACCGTCCCCTCCCCTGAGGAATGCGACAACACGGTGAGGGCATTGGAAGAGGAACCCCTAAGTAAGGAATCCAAGGTCTGGAAGCCGGTGAAGCTCCGATCGTGCATCGGCCAAGGGTAACACTGCCGCACTCATTAGATAAGGAATCCCCCAGGGTCTGAAGCCTCCTGGGCCCTCTCCTTAACTTAGATAAGGAATCCTCCAGGGTCTGAAGCCTCCTGGGCCCTCTCCTTAACGAATGCCCCACGCCCTGTCACGGCTCTGGGCTGTGGCAGCGACGGCCCTGGCAGCGAAGGGCGGGGCCACCGCGAGCCTGGTCCAGCAGGGCCCACAGCTCGAGGAACCTCTCGCGCGTGAACTGGCTGCCCCCCTCGTCGCCGAAGCACTCCGCCGCGAGCTGCAGGGCCTCCGGGACGAGGGGGCTCGATGCTCTTGAATCGAGGATCGCGGCTCGCTCCTCGAGGATCGAGGGTCGAGGCTCGATCCTCGAGGGTCGAGGATCGAGGGTCGAAGGTCGAGGCTCGATGCTCGAGGGGTCTGGGCGCGATGCCCGTGGATGCGTACGTGCCCGGCTTCGGGCCTCGGGGGGTGCTGTGGACATTCTGGGGGAGAGACCGGAACCCTGGAGACCTCGGAAGAGGGAGCGCAGAGAGGGCCTCCTGACCCTCCTCCTTCCTCCTCCTCCTCCCCCTCCTCATCCTCCTCCTCCTCCTCCTCCTCCTCCTCCTCCTCCTCCTCCTCCTGCTCCTGCTCCTCCTCCTTCTCCTCCTCCACCTCCTCCTCCCCCTCCTCCTCCTCCTCCTGCTGCGAACAAAATGCAACGCCTGGACCACTTCCCCTCTTCATCCTGACTCGTGCATTGGGGGTCCCCCGCCCAGCGAGCCGAAAAAACCGGGCGAGGATGATGATGAGGAGGAGGAGGAGGAGGCGGAGGAGGAGGAAGAGGGGGAGGAGGAGGAGGGGGAGGGGGAGGGGGAGGAGCGGGAGGAGATGTAGGAGGGGGAGGAGGGGGAGAGGGAAGAGGAGGAGGGGAAGGAGGGAAAGGAAGGAGAAGAGGAGGGGGTGGAGGGAGAAGTAGGAGGGGCAGGCGGAGGAGAAGGAGGGGGAGGAGGAGGGGGAGAAGGCGGAGAAGGGGGAGGACGGGGAAAGGGAAGAGGAGATCCACAACAGAGGGAGGAGGGAGAGAGGGAGGGGGAGAGAGACCTGACCAAACCCAGGAGATCCACAGAAGCTGCTGCAGTACCCCCTCCCATCCCAAGGCCCCTCCTAAGCCCATTTAAAAATTACCCGCCCTCCCTCTGTACGACAAGCGGCCCATCGCTTTGCCATTGAGGCGAGAGCCTCGGTTGGCAAAGAGGCCCACCCTCCGTAGTTCGGATTATGAGACGTGCCAGCTGATGCGGCAGCCTGATATTTGGTACAGCGCCGCGTCGGAATACCCTGAAAGCGGAAGTTATGGTTTGAGGTTTTATTCCCTACCTAGGCTCTGCCTAGAAGGGTTCTTACTCTCTGGGCTTAAAGGGGCAGGGCAGTGGAAAGCGCCCCGGGCGGTTCCCCCAGTATCCGCCCCGCGGTTCCCCCAGTTACGTCCCCTTAGCTTAGCGTTGCTTATCTCATCTTAGCTTAGCCTACCTTAGCTTAGCTTGGCTCAGCTTAGCTCAGCTTAGCGCAGCGCAGCATTAGCATGGCATAGCGTAGCATAGCATAGCATGGCATAGCGTAGCATAGCATAGCGTAGCATAGCATCGCGCAGCATAGCATTGCATAGCATAGAATAGCATCGTAAAGCATAGCGCATCCTAGAACAGCACAGAATAGCACTTAGCATAGCACAGCGCAGCATAGCATAGCATAGCATAACATGGCATAGCGCCGCATAGCATAGCATAGCATAGCATAGCGCAGCATAGCATAGTATAGCATAGCATAGCATAGCGCAGCATAGCACAGCATGGCATAGCATAGCATAGCGCAGCATAGCATATCATAGCATTGCCTAGCATAGCACATCATTGCGCAGAATAGCATAGCATAGCATAGCATAGCGCAACATAGCGCAGCATACCATAGCATAGCATAGCATAGCGCAGCATAGCATAGTATAGCATAGCCTAGCATAGCATAGCGCAGCCTAGCATACCCTAGCATAGCATAGCATCGCATAGCATAGCGCAGCATGGCGCAGCATAGCGCAGCACAGCATAGCATAGCATAGCATCACACAGCATATCATAGCGCAGCATAGCAAAGGCAACGGCAAAAGCAGAGGCAAGAGCAATAGCAAAGGCAGTGCAAAGCAAACGCAAAACCAATGCGAAAGTGTAGATGTAGACTTAGATGTAGGTGCAGGTGCAGATGTGGTTGTGGGTGTAGATGTAGATGTGGATGTACATGTAGGTGTAGATGTAGATGTAGATGTGAGTGTAGTTGTAGATGTAGATGTAGATGTAGCTGTAGATGCATGTGTACGTGTAGATGTAGCTATAGGTGTAGATGTGGATGTAGGTCTAGATGTAGATGTAGGTATTAAGCTGTACTACTACTACTACTACTACTACTACTACTACTACTACTACTACTACTACTACTACTACTACTACTACTACTACTACTACTACTACTACTACTACTACTACTACTACTACTACTACTACTACTACTACTACTACTACTACTACTACTACTACTACTACTACTACTACTACTACTACTACTACTACTACTACTACTACTACTACTACTACTACTACTACTACTACTACTACTACTACTACTACTACTACTACTACTACTACTACTACTACTACTACTACTACTACTACTACTACTACTACGACTACTACTACTACTACTACTACTACTAACTACTACTACTACTACTACTACGACTACTACTACGACTACTACGACTACTACTACTACTACTACTACTACGACTACTACTACTACTACTACTACTACTACTACTACTACTACTACTACTACTACTACTACTACTACTACTACTACTACTACTACTACTACTACTACTACTACTACTACTACTACTACTATTACTACTACTACTACCGCTACTGCTACAACTGCGACGATGAGGAGAAGGAGGAGGACGGCGTTTACCGTTACTGATAATATTGCTCTGCTCGGGGTTCCAACTCCTAGGTAGGGTCGCTCTGGGATAATCTTCTATGGCGGAGGCGCTGCGCGTTATGCATCCGAGAGCGGAAACAAAGCATTGTCAATCTTTACGTTGGCAGGAATTTGGTCGACGAATGGCCTGCGAAAGACACATGGAACGCCTCACTACCTAATTCGGCGGGAGCGTCGGTCAAACGTGCCCCACAAAGAATCAAGCTGGACTACAAAAACTGGGTATACAATCGGGGTGTTGACCTAAGGAACCCTAAATACGGAACGAGGCCCCTTTTTTCCATAAGCTAACATTCGATTTCCGATCGAAAACATAAGGAAAGCCTGAGGCAAGCTGTGAAACACTTAAGGAACGCGGAGCCCCTCCCCGACCAAAAGGGTTCCTTCTTCAGGGCCCCGACGGTAAGGAGCAACAAGCATCAAACAACGCGAAACCAAAATGCTGCAAAGGAGCCGCACTCCGTCCACGCAACTGCCGCACACGATCGAACAAGATACCCCGTTTGAACAAATCAGATCTAGTCCGACGGAAAGACCCCACACGATAAGCTCCTTAGTGCGCATGAGAATCTTCACCGTCGACGATCCACAAGGGTGGTGATGGCAGGATGTCAGGACACTAGAATACGATCTCTGGGACCTGTGGGACTCGCGGGAGCTGTGCGACCTATGAGGCGTGTTGGACCTGTGGGGCCTATGGGGCCAGTGGGACCTGTAGGAATTGCGAGCCCTGTGAGACCTGTGAGACTTGTGGGACTTGCGGGCCTTGTGGGATCTCTTCCTCCATTCTCAAGCCTGGGAAACCAAAAAATGACGACAACTACAGGGTTGAGGATGACCCGCTCGGATTAAAAACATGAGCTGCGGGTACCATGGGGAGGAGACTTCCGCCTGAGACTTCCTCGCAATTCACTTACAGACGAGGCTCCCGCCTGATACCCCTCCATATTCAAGCCCAGAAATGACGACAGTTACAGGTTTGAGGATAACCCGCTCGGACTAAAAACATGAGCTGCGGGCACTATAGGGAGGAGGCTCCCGCCTGAGATTCCCTCTCAATTCACTCACCAACAACGCTCCCGCCTGATCCTCCCTCCAGATTCAGGCCTGTGGAGCCCAAAATTGACGACAGCTACAGGCTTGAGGATGCCCCGCTCGGATTCACGATGATTGCGATGCTGCTGATAGTTGTGATGCTGACGATGATGATAATGATAATGTAGTGGGATGACAGATGATGACGGGTGTGACGATGATGATGATGGTGATGATGATTGTGATGATGATGATCGTGGTGGTGGTGGTGATGATGGTGATGATGGTGATGATGGTGATGACGAGGACGACGATGATGACTATGCTGATCTGATGATGGTGGTGATGGTGATGATGATGATGATGGTAGTGATGATGATGACGACGATGACGATTATGACGATGATAGTGATGATGATGATGATGATGATGGTGGTGATGATGATGATGATGATGATGATGATGATGATGATGATGGTGTAGGTGGCTTCCTGTTCCTGCGCGGGTGTCCAGAAAACACAAGAAAAAACACCACTCAGGATGTGGGGAACAAAGAAGCAGCCCTTCATCTGTCTATCCGTTGCGCACTTGGCAACGTGTGATCGCAAACGTTAGAATGGTCTCAAACGAGATCCCCAGCCTGCGGGAAAACACGCCCTCCGTCCGTGAAACCTCCGCACACATCAATACGGATGCGTGCGGCCCAGAGCAAGAACACCATGCTTCAAACCACCCGCCCTCCATCCGTGTGGACGTTTGGAAACGCGCACACCACTTGGAAACGCGCACACCACTGAGTTGGAACGTGATTCGCACCTTGGTAACGATTCACCCTCATCCCTGTATCCTCTGGGAAATGATCGCACGACTGCGCGCAGCACTAAAGTCAGAGCCACATGTTGACAACGACACGCCCTACGCGTGAAACTGGGAGAACAGACCGGCTTCAGGATCCTAACTTGTGACGAAATCTCTGGCGAAACGCCTCGTCAGCCCCACCAACACGCCCAAGTGTGCGACGGCGACGAATTGCGCGTTACCTGTGAGAGAGAATGGCGGAGGAAGACGACGACAACTACGGCAAGTACGGGGAAGAGGAAGAAAAAGAAGCAAGGGAGAGGGGAAAGAGGAGCCAGGGGGGAAGGAGCGTCAGGAGGAGGACATGGTGTAGGGGGGGCGAGATCCGTCGTCGCGAAAACACGCGGTGACAAATCCCGACAGGAGCTTCCGATACCACTTGTTTCCTGTCAATAAAAAACTGGAACCGGAACAAAGCATAACGCGCATCATGCGATTGCTCGCGATGCCCGCGTAGGCCTCGGGTGAGATCTCCACGCCCAGTTCGTTGGCCGTCTTGGTGAGACTCTTCACGCTGACGCTGCCAGTGTTGCTTGGGTCCATCGCCTTGAACGGCGACCAGCAATCGACCCTCCTAACATCTGATGGAGCGCGTCCTGATCAGGATTCCGAACCGGATTCGGCAGTCGCGACGAGGGCCGTCCAAGTCTCCTCAGGAATCCCGAAAGAATGCAACCCCTAATCTTCCGTTAACCTCCTTCTCCTCCTCCTCCTCCTCCTCCTCCTCCTCCTCCTCCTCCTCCTCCTGTTTCCTCCTCCTCCTCCTCCTCCTCCTCCTCCTCCTCCTCCTCCTCCTCCTCCTCCTCCTCCTCTGAGGAAGAGAAGGAGGAGAAGGAGGAGCAGGAGGAGTGGACCCATCTTCCTGCCCTCCACCTCATCCTCCTGCCCTCCCGTAGGGCCTCCAGGATGCGGACTCGCCTGCGCCTAGCACTGGAGCCCTCGTCTTCCTCACTCTCTCTCTCCGCCGCATCATCATCATCATCATCATCATCATCATCATCATCATCATCATCATCATCATCATCATCATCATCATCATCATCATCATCATCATCATCATCATCATCATCATCATCATCATCATCATCATCATCATCATCATCATCATCATCATCATCCATCATCATCATCATCAGCATCAGCATCACATCAATCATCATCATCGTCATCATCATCAGCAGCAGCATCATCATATTATCATAATCAGCATAATCATCCTCATCATCATCCTCATCATCATCAACATCGTCGTCTCATCATCATCATCAGCATCATCATCATCATCATCATCATCATCATCATCATCATCATCATCATCATCATCATCATCATCATCATCATCATCATCATCATCGTCATCATCATCATCATCATCATCATCAGCATCATCATCATCTCGGCATCATAATTAACACCATCATCTGCATCAGCATCAGCATCATCATCATCATCATCATCATCATCATCATCATCATCATCATCATCATCATCATCATTATCATCATCGTCATCATCAGCATCAGCATCAGCATCAGCATCATCATCATCATCATCATCGTCATCATCATCAGCAGCAGCAGCATCATCATATTATCATAATCAGCATAATCATCCTCATCATCATCCTCATCATCATCAACATCGTCGTCATCATCATCATCATTATCATCATTATCATCATCATCATCATCATCATCATCATCATCCTCGTCATCATCATCATCATCATCATCATCATCATCATCGGCATCATAATTAACACCATCATCTGCATCAGCATCAGCATCATCATCATCATCAGCAGCATCGTCTTCATCACCATCATCACCATCATCAACATCATCATGAGCATCAGCATTATCATCATCATCATCAGCAGCAGCATCCTCATCATCATCCTCATCATCAGCATCACCATCATCGTTTACAACAGCAACAACGACAACATTAACATCAACAGCATCGTCATCATCATTACCACCACCATCCTCCTGCTGCTCCTCCTTTTCCTGATGCTGCCCCCCCACCCTCCCCCAAATGTTCCCCAAAAGGGCTCCCACTATGATGACAGCTCGGCGAGCACAGACTCCGATGTGGATCGCCCGATAGCTCTAGCCACGACTCTCGGCCCCGTCGGCGCTTCCAAAAGGCGGAGGGGGGCGGGGATTCGCCACATGAGGGATGGAAAAAACGACCCTACCCTGGATTACAAGTGCGTGGTCTGTAAACCTCCTGGGAACCCCCGAAGCCTAGAGCCGCCAGGACGTGACACATCACGCAGGGCTTACCCTGTCAGCCCACAGGAGTTTCAGAGCACAGCGCCTCGTAAACCAGGGTAGGGGCGTGAGGAAGACGAGGAGGACGAGGAGGACGAGGAGGACGAGGAGGACGAGGAGGACGAGGAGGACGAGGAGGACGAGGAGGACGAGGAGGACGAGGAGGACGAGGAGGGCATAGGCAGGCGTCATTCGATGCAGGCAACCCCTACAGCAGGGACGCACGCTGCGGATGCACGGGGCCTTTGGCAGGCTGCGCCGACGCCGTGCCGCCGGCGAGCAGCCGGCAGAAGCGGCCGAGGCGGGGCCGCAGGGGAAGGACGCAAGGGTAGCTTCAAAAAGCCGCTCGTCCTCACTACGCTCCCAAGGGCTACAATTGGAACCACTACGCTCGCCCCATCGCCCAGCCTAAGCCTCGTCCTCACTACGCTCGCCCCATCGCCCCCAATCGCCCAATCGCCCCCAATCGCCCAAGGGGAAGTCGCTCGGGTAGCCTCGGAAAGTCGCAAGGGTAGCCTCGGAAAGTAGTTTGGCTGTACAGTCCTCCCCCCTCCTCCCACCTCCTGCCTCCGGCCCTCCCTCCCCGGAGGCCCTGCGACGCGAAAGCGTTGCAGCCTCGTGGGAAAGTCACGGCCGGAGCCCTGGACCACATCTGTCTGCTGCGCCTGTCGAGCTGCATCGATCTGCGAAGGCCCCACGGGGCCCTCCTGAGGCGAAGACGCCCGGTTCGAGAAAATTGCGACGTCAGGATCTCAAGGTCCACATGCTCCCTCCTCCCTCCTCCCCTGGGGGAGCATGTGCCCTTGAAAGCGACCTCCTCTCGCTTCTCGAAGTCCCGACCATTTCCCCTGTGCTGGCTGTTCATCCATACTCTGGGTTTCTGAATAAGCGTGGGGGGGGTACCCCACGATGGGGGTCAACCTCGCCTCGTCGACGCGCCGCGACGGGGGTCGGAGCGCCTTCGGCGCGCGGTGACTGCCCGCGACGAGGGTCGATGTGGGGCTGTCGGCGGGGGTGGCGCCCCCCCGACGTTTCTTAAGAAACTCGGAGTAGTCGTGGTTTAACAGCCCCAGGGTCCTCGCCAGGGGCACCCCGAGGCCGGAGACGGCCGACAAAACGACGCCACTTCGCCCAAATGGGGTCCGAGCACATGGGGTCGGAGGATCGCGCCGCACCGCCGAAGCAACGATTTGTTAATGGCGCGATTGGACCTGGAGAAGGAGGAGGAAGAGGAAGAGGAAGAGGAGGAGGAGGAGGAGGAGGAGGAGGAGAAGGAGGAGGAGCGAGAAAAAGCGAGGAGGAGCGAGGAGGAGCGAGGAAAAGCGAGGAGGAGGAGGATGATGAGGAGGAGGAGGAGCAGGAGGAAGGGAGGAGGAGGAGGAGGAGGAGGAGGAGGGTTCCCTGGGGCAGCCAGTGGCCTTGAAGGCGACCTCCGCGCGGTCGCGGGTCAGCGGGTCCATCCCCTGCAGGAGGCTCGCGCCGAGCGCCCGCGTCCCGCTGCGCCGGCTGCTGGAGCTCTCGCTGCCCTCGCCGTCGCTCCTCGCCGAAGGGGGGGAGGGAGGAAGAGGAGGAGGAGGAAGAGGAGGAGGAGGAAGAGGAGGAGGAGGGGAAAGAGGAGGAGGAGCGAGGAGGAGGAGGAGGAGAGGAGGAGGAGAAGGAGGAGGAGGGAGAAGGAGGAGGAGGAGGAGGAGGAGGCGGAGGAGGAGGAGGAGGAAGAGGACGGAGGAGCAGGAGGAGGAGACGAGCGTAAGAGACGAGTCCCACGTCCCGCCTAGCCGCAGGTGCGGCGCAGCGGAGCCTCGAAGACCGCCGACTCGAGGGGCACGGAGTCGACGTAGCGAGCCGTTAATTCATTCAGAAGAAGAGGACGGGAAGAGCGACGAAGCAGCGCGCAAGCACCAACAGGTCACGGGAGGAAAAGACGGGTCGAGAAGAAAACCGACTGCATGGCTGGAGCACCCAGATCCAGGGGCACGGGGCTCAGGTTATTAGGGAGATGTGGCGACGGCACATGACACAGCTCGGGAGCACGAGACGGTACACCGTCGATCGAAAGATACGCACAGCCAATCGCCGTGGGGTGGGTGCGGAGCGAGGGGGGGCAGCAGCAGCAGGAGCAGCGTACAGGAGCGACGGACAAGAGGGGGAACGAAGGACAAGGTCAACGGAGGTCCGAGCGCCAGACATCGAGGGGTGGGGGAAAGGAGCGCGCAGGGGCTGGATATCAAACATAAGACAATTGGAAAAGATTAGTCGCGATAGCGACGTGTGGGGTGGAGCTGACAAGGTCTGATGGGGCGGAAACATGCGAGCAGAGACAGAGAGGAACCGAGCGGGAAGAGGGGCGGCGTCAGGAAGGGATCCTACTGCCCAGGGGGTCGGAAAAGCCGCTGGTCCTCTGGGCGAAATCGCCGTTGACAGGGCAATCGGTGCGCACGCAGCTGGCGGTGTCGACAAGTCAATAGGTCCGCACGTCGCCACCGAAGTCGTCGGGCCGTCGCCATAAAGTACTCCCCAGGGAGTTTGCTTTGCCAATGCGCCACTGGCCGAGGTCGACCCAGGCGTCGAAATCGGAGCCCCCGCAGCAATTGCTGACGTCAAGGCAAAGAGGCCAGCACACTACAATCGCCGTCGACGGGCTGACGCCAGAAATAAATCCAGCAGGAGAAGGCGACGGTGAGCCCGAACACGACAACGGGACTTGCGATCTAACGCCCGCGCAAGCGCCCGACGAGGCAAGCGACTTGCCTCCAGCAGGTGGCGACAGTGAGCCCGACGCCAACGACGGGTCTTGCGTTCTAACTGAGCACGTCTGGGCAGGGGATGGAGCAAGACGTTTATCCCTGCAAGGTTCTGGATGCGGCAATCTGAGGGTGCCCCCAACTCCTGGTCCACACGGCGACGAAATCGCCGGAGAGCACGCAATAGGAGCTGACAAACAAATCGGCGAAGACGAACCCACAGCCTCACCTCCCCCAGGGCCTTCAGCAGGAACAGGAAAGGGTCGGCCGTCGCGAGGTGCACCATTGTTAGGATCCCAGGAGCTGGAGTCGGAAGTCGCGCTGGAGTCGGACGTCGATGAAATACTGTGGCAGCGAGTGGAGCCAAGAAGCACCCTCGGCGGTGGGCTCGATTTCAGCAGCAACTGCGCAGGGCGCGAGAGACGCAGAGATCGCAAAGCAGCCGCTGCCAGCGAGGAAAGGGTTCTGGGGACAACGGTACCACCACGTTCCCTGGACATGTTAAAGATCTGGTAAACCACAAACATCTCCTCAAACCTTTCGGGCTTGGGCTCCGTGAGGCCCAAACGTGCAGGGAGCGAGGTAGGGGGATCCCGACCAAGCGCTCGACCCGTGGCGCGGCGGAGCCGCGGGCACGCAAGGCAGTGCGCCAGCCGATCAGGTCGGCTGCAACCGAAGCGACAACGCAGCAGGCCGTCGGGGTGCACGATGCGGGCTGAGGTCAGCCGGCCGCTGGTCCAAGTCCCGATCGCTGCCAGGGCCCAGCTCTGCGGGAGGGGGCGCATGAGCTCGCGGATCTTCTCCCAGTGGACGCGATTCAGGAGGAGCTCGTAGTCGCACGGAACTCTGTTCAGGCAACGCACAATGGCACGGCTCAGCGCGCGCTCCTCTGCGAGAAGGCCCGAAAGAGTGGCGGCGACAGCACGTCGGGGTCGAGGACGTCGGCCAGCGCAGGACAGCTCATCAAAGAGGGAGGAGCGAGCGGCAACCATCCAGTCCTTGGAGGAGAGATAGAGCACACCGTCGGGGTTCTCGACGAACGCAGGCGCTTTCCAGAAGCTGGGGTACATACGCGTCCGCACGGTGGCAGAGAGAGGAGTGTCATCAAAATGACCGCCGGCAACTTCCTGTCGCCAGCCGATCGCCTTGGCCTTCATCTGGTCGAGGTGGGTCGGGAAGCCGCGGAAGGTGACGGCCGCAGCTCCGAGTAGCGCAGCGGCAGCATGAGCGGCCCAGGAGGGCAGCCGCGGCCCCCCCCAAAACATTGAAGTTCGGGAACGGCTGCATTACTGCTCATGCCGAGCGGGCACCTCCGGGCCTGCGAGACGCCGCCCCTCTCGAACGCGAGGAAAGAGGGCGGCATCGAAACAGACTGGGAGACATATAAGGAAGGACAGAATGAACTCGGGCACGGTGCAGTGTGGAATTGACGCTACTTGCCGCACCGGCGCGGCTGGGCACACGACTTCTCGTGCGAACTTTGGTGAGTGGGTCACGCCAGCACCATTCAACAGTAGCGCTAGGTCCGAGCCAGATGCCGAGATACAGCATACATCGTTCAAAAACAAACTCCGCCCATTCAGGAACATAGCGGCCCAGGAGATCCCGAATTTCGCCTCGGAGCCTCAGAGATCGAGCCCACGAGGGGAACCACAGTGCACTTACTGATCTTTATGGAGAGCCCCGCGATCAGCTTCATGGTCTGGAGAACCTCAAATACGATCTTAATAAAGGCAAACTCGAACAAGACCACTCCCAAGTCGTCAGCGCACGCACGACCAAGCCCTTTACCTTCACCTTCCAGAGTCGCTTCCAGGTCCTGGAGCACCGGGGCAGAGGCCAGATCACACAGGGAGCCCGAGAGGCCACATCCCTGGATGATCCCAGATCTCAGCCAGAAAACTTCCACCAGAGCGCCCCCGTCCGCAATGACCCCATGGGCGGCCTCATACAGGAATCCGCCGAAGGAGAGGAGCGCCTCGCAGAGCCCCAGGGCGCCCAGGAGCTGCATGAGGAAGGACTCGGAGAGGCTGGGGAAGGCCTGGCCGCAGTCAAAGCCGAGCAGGATCGGGCACTTGTTTCGAGCGAGAGGGTGTTGAGAGGCTGCAAGGCCCAGGGCGTCGAGCTCAGGAATGTTATATCCAAAGTAACGCCCAGGAATAAATCCACGCTGCGACGGCGGGGCCACAAAATCCACAACTGGCTTCAGGATGAAATTCGCAACCGAACTCAAAATCTTCATGTCAGTATTGCGCAGGCCCAGTACCCGAACCCGATCAGGAGACCTCTCACAGGCCCCACCCGCTGTGTCGGGGGCCTCGGAGCCCTTGGGGAGGAAGACTTGCAGGGTAACACTGGCAGCGTGAACCCTTGCAGGTAACTTGCAGGAAGCCTGCCCCTGACATAGCCAGCTGAACATAGAGGCAAGCAAGTGAGAGCCGAAGTCAACCGCAGCCCATGCAGCATGAGCAACCCGTCCACACCAGGGGGTGAATGTTTAGCTCTCCATTGGCAACTTTCTTGAAACGCGGGACCAGCGGGACGGCAACCTGGAGATCCTGCGCTGATTTCAGAAAGCGATCGAGGCACACTTGCGTCGACGACTCAGCAGATGGCTTCACCGAGAAGACAGGTCTCCAGTAGTCACACAGTGTACGATGGCGGCCTTCAGGGGATGAGGCGGGCCCGTCTGGGCCAGCAACAGACGCGAGCACCAGGCGCTTCGAGAACGGGGCCCAGATCGAAGCCTCCCTTTCCATAGCACGCACTAGGGAAGAAGAGCATGAACTTCTGGGAGCAGGCTGGTCAGAACGCGCCCCAGGAGAGGTCCAGGGGGGAGACTACAGTCGGAATTTGGGCGAACAAAAATACCCCAGAAATAACCTAAAAATAATCCAAACATCGTCCCCCGACTATTTTTTGACTATTTTGAATATCCCTCCTGTAGAGTGTCATGCCCGACTTCAGTCCAGGGGTCACATTTACCCACGAACCCGAAGAATCACGACGGAAGGCTTTTGATGGCTTTTGGCCCCTCGGAGCCCTCGCCGGGTCCCCCGGGGCCGTCAGAAGACGTCCCAGGATTAAAAGCCGGTCCCGGGAGCAAGTCAAGACCCGCAGGGGTCCAAATGATGCAAAGTCCTGACGCCGGAGGTCCAGGTCCAGAGACTGAGGGGAAGGGGGGGAGGGGCAAATCGTCCTGCTCCACGAGTCGGTCCTCTCCAGCATGCCCAGCCTTCGTGCAGCACTCTTCATCGCCTTGTTCTGGCAGCGCTCCTTAAACGTCTTGAGGGGAGTAGAGCCCTCCGGCAGGTCGTCGAACTCGACAAAGCCCTTGGAGGGATCCTTCGGCAGCTGCCTGGGGGACTGAACCACACGCGGCACACGTCCCTTCCTCGCCCAACTTTCGCTACTCCTCTGCACGACCCTGGCGCGACCAAGTGCAAAACATGACCAACAAAGACTACTGAGCAATGCGACCCCACCGACACCAAGCGACGCAGAGCGACGCGAGCACAAGAAGGCAACGGAAAGCAAGGCGTAGCAAAGCAACATTCCACCTTGCAGAGACACCCTGACCAACACAGAACAGTAAGCACTTACAGCTGTCCACATGGCATGGTCCCCTGGGTACACCACGCACGGCACTCTCTGCACAGCAGCACCCTCGGCACGGCACTCTCGGCACGGCACCCTCGGCACGGCACACGAGGCCCCACGCGCGCAGCAAGCTCCGCACGACCCGCGCGGCATCCTTCGCACAAAGCTCTCGGCACGACACCCCCGACACGACGCGCAGCGCACGGCCCCCTGCGCGCCCAGCGGACGGCACGGCGCGCGGAGCAGGGCGCGCAGGGCACGGCGGGGTCGCAACGACGCGCGCGCGCACGGGCACGTGCAGCGCCGTCAGCTCGGCACGGCACACCCCGCGCAGCGCAGGCACGCACGCCACGGCACGCCACGGGCACGCCGAGGCCGCCGCGGCACGGCCCGCGCAGCGCAGGGTCGCCGCGCCGGGGTTCACGGCACGAGCACTCCGCCCGGCACCGGCACGCACGGCCTGCACGCGCAGCACCCGACGCAGGGCTCGCCGGAGCGGAAGCGGAACCTCCGTGCCGGCCGGCGCGTCAGAGGCCCTGGCAACTTTTTGCTGCCTTGGAGGAGCGAGCGACGAGCCAGGCGAAGTGGAGCGGCACGTGTCGGGATCACGGCCGAGCAGCGCAGCAGGAACCAGAGCGGAGCGGTGCCAGGGGTGAGGGTCACAGCAGGCTAAGATGCGCCGTAGCAAAGAAGTCGAACGCAGGGTAAAGCAGAAAGGAGTTCACACGCAATGGAATGAGCGCAACGCATTGCAACGCAACGAATCCCACCAGCCCTCTGGGCGTGAGTAGATTAGCGAGCTTCCTCTTCCGACCCCCCTTCTTCCCCTTCGGGGAGGGGGTGACCACTGTTCCGTGTTGATGCACACACCCTCCTCCACCGGGCCAGCGACAAACCCGGGAGACCAGGACAACCCCCCCACACCATCTGCTTTACAAAAAACAAAACCAATTGGCGCTAGAATTTGGATCATGCGCCGACGCCCCGCGATCACTTCGCATTTGTTTTTGACAGGGACGGCGGGGTGTCATCATATTGCCTGCTGCGCGCCATGCCGACATTCCTCCAGCATCCCCTGCACAAAAACAGAACAGAGTGCACTTTGCACCAAAATCTGAATCATGCGCGGAAGCCCCGCGATCAGGCCGGCGGGGGGGCAGCGTAGTGCCTACTGTGTGCAGCGCCAACACCCATCAACCGTCCCATGCACACAGATGAGAAATGCACTTTTAAGAAAAATCTGGATCATGCGCAGACGCGCCCCGCGCTCACATTGCGCATCGGTGTTTGCCCAGGACAGCTGGGGGGGGCATGCTGCCTGCTGTGCGCACGCCCACCATCCCTATCGAAAACAAGTTCAAAGTGATCGTGGGCGCACACCCACACACAATATACACAATGCTCGCAAACGAGCCATCACATTGGTTTTTGAGAGGGACGGTGGGAGGGTCGACAGATTGCCCAATGTGGCGCACCTGGCGCACGTGGCGTAGCTGGCATCCGCGGCGCACCTCGCGGGCTTCGAGCACCTGGCTAGCGTCTGCATTGGTTCCCGATGGTTGTCGATGGCGGCCCCTGTCCATGCTGAGACTCTTGGAAGGGCGGGTGGGAGTGAGCGAGACGGCTTGTTGCGTGTGGGTAGCGTGACCCCTCGCCCTACCCCCTCCCCTGGACTTTGACGAGGGGGGCCGCGAGCGGCTAAAGCGTCCAAGATGGGCCAAGATGGCTCCAAGAGGGCCTCAGAGAGCCGAAGATGACCTCCAAGATGGCTCAAGATGGCTTAAGGTAGCTCAAGACGATCTCCAAAATGTTCCAAGAGGCCCCAAGACCGCCCCAAAGCCAGCTCCGAGTGGCCACGGAGCCTCCCGAGGAAGCCACCAAGAGGCCAACGTGCTTCAAAGACCTAAAGAAAATCAAAATCTGCTGTCTTCTCGCCTTTTCGCTTTCGACAGCCCTCCTAGGCCTCAAGGTGGCTTCAAGAAGACCCAGGAGAGCCCCTAGAGGAGCCCAAGAGGGCCCCAAGAGCACCCAAGAGCGCCCCGAGAGCGCTCCAAGAGGGTCCAAAAGGCGATTCTAGGAGCTGCCGAGTGCAAATCAAGGACCACCCCCTTAATTGATCGAAGTCCTCCAAGGTGGCCCCGAGACGGCCCCAAAGGCTCTCACGAGTGCCCCAAGAGAGCCCCAGGAGGCGCCCAGGAGGCCCTGAGAGGCCCCCAAGAGGTCCTCAAGAGGCTCCGGAGAGAACCCCACGAGGCCCTAAGAGGCTTTCCCGAGGGACCCGAGACGCTCAAAGAGGCCCCCTGGGACCGCCAAGAGGCTCCGAAGACACCACAAGAGTACCCCAAGAAGCTCTCAAGAGAAATCCGAACAGACTCCAAGAGGCATCCAAGAGCCCTCTGGCCTTTCTGCTCACCCTTCTCCTCCTCCATCTCCTCCTCCTCCTCCTCCTCCTCCTCCTCCTCCTCATCCTCCTCCTCCTCCTCCTCCTCCTAATCCGCTGGTGCCTCCTTCTCCCCCTCCTTCCTCCCCCTCCTCCTCCTCCCCCTCCTCCTCCTCGTCCTCCTCCTCCTCCTCCTCCTCCTCCGAATCCTCATCCATCCTGCCCCATTTGGGGTATGACGGCGTCCCCAGCTCGCTATTCCACCGCATGCTCCTCCACATCCCTGATCAAGGCAACTCCCTTGAGCATCGTTTCTGGATGGGCTGGTGGGGGTCCGCGAAGCGTCTAGACTATCAGAGCAGACCGGAAGCCAAAGCCAGAACGAACTGTCAGAACGTAGCGCACACAAACACACACACACACACACACACACACACACACACACACACATCAAACTAGACAGCGAAAGCCGGCATGATCGCAAAACAACCTCAGACCAAGCCAACGCGAAACCGTGTCCTAGGCATTGCGAAGACACAGCAAACACCAAAGCTCACCAGAGGGAACCGATAAGCAAGGCAGTGTAACAGTACAGGCGAACTGATGAGCGAGCATACGTAGCAAAGCAACGCAAGGCAAAAGTGTGGTCAAACAGTAACACGAGTGGCAAGAACGCACAACCCAAACCCTTCAAAGCGAAGGAGGGCAACGAATACCAAGAGGTCGAGAGTCCCGAACAGCTCTCCAAAAGACGCCGAGCAACGCCGCCAAGGGGGGTGAGCGACGGCACGTAGAACGTGGACCCCAGAATGCGTTCATACCAGGAGGAGGAGGAGGAGGAGGAGGAGGAGGATAAGGAGGAGGAGGAGGAGGAGGAGGAGGAGGGGGAGGGGAGGAGGAAGAGGAGGAGGAGGAGGCGGAGGAGGAGGGGGAGGAGCAGGAAGAGGAGGATTTTTTTTGACATCAACATCAAGGGAGAGCGCCTGCCCAGACAATTAGGGCAGGCCAGCTGGCCAAGCCAGCAAAAGCTAACACCTGAAAAGCGAGGAAAAGCAGCGGGCCACAGGGACATCTCCAGCTAGCTGGAGGATTCCCCGTGGCCCGCTGCTTCTCCCCCAGGCGTTAGTCCGAACTAGAGTCGCCTTCATCGCGGTGAGCGAGCACCGAGACAAATGACGCCTCTCTGGCCACACTCCGAGATGGGGCCGGGGCACTGGGCAAAACAAAAAGGGGGGGGGGGGGAGGAGGAGAAGGAGGGCCCTGAAAAAGAAAACGAGAGGCTTCATCGTCAGCCTCCCAATCCTGCAGCAAAGCAGGATCAGACACAGTCGCTCCCCCCCCCGCTCCCCGCTCCACCCCGTCCCCACGGTCCTCGGCGGCGGTGGCGGGGCGCGGAGAGCCGTGCTCCTGCGCCGCGGCGGCACCTGCAGCGCCGACCTGATGGCCTCCTCCCTTCTGCGCCCAAGGCCCTCTCTCGACCGAGACGCCAGGACGCTTTGGATGGAGGCCTTTACAGATCGGGTGCCAACTGTTGTACTTCTTAGATCTGGTCGGGCCAATGCAAACACCCGCAAGGCCCGAAGCCCGACCATGAGACGAGTACGAATAACATTTGGTGCAAATCACCAGGGAAGAATTGTCTGAGCAGGCAAGCGTCAAACACCGATGTCCCCGCGCCTCCAAAACCTGCGCCTCCAGCCCACGAACGGGAGTGCATTTAGAGGGGGGAGGCGGGGGACCGTGGGTAGACAGACGGCTGACTTTAGCACAAACCGAACACTTCCAAAAGCCCGAGACGGACCCAAGCTCACAAATCTGGATGGGCTGCCACTCGCAACGCACAGAAGAAACCACCTGGGGGGGGGTCCTTTGGCGGCTGAATCCACACGACGTCCTGGAGGTCTAATTTGGGCCACAACGGCATCAACTTTGCAGACAGCGACGCCACGGCCCTAGAAAACTTGATGTCGAGATCGAGCCTACACCTGTCATCCTCCGACGGCTGTGGGTGCCCAAGGTACCCCTCCCCCGCAGAAGCACTTTTAGCTCCTACGTCTGCATGGTGGTTTCCAAAACGGCACATCTTATCATGATCGTCGGTCCACTCATCCAAAGAAAGATGAGCTTTCACTTTGTTCAAGGAGCGGACCTTCCAGAAATCAGAGAGGAGGGAGAGGGAGAACCCACTATAACAGCGCTTAGGGGACAGCTGGTCAATCTGAGGGCGACTGAAGTGGTCTTTGACCAGCTGAGCGTCGGTATAAAAATCCGAAGGTCCTCCTGAGAAAAGGATTGCTTGGCAAATCGCAGCGAACTCTCCAGCAGGGGCAGTCTGGGGGTAGCACGGGGGGACGGGGCCGTAGAGCTTCCCCAAGAGG